AACATATCTTAGCTATAGCTACGATAATTATGCCGTGTCAGTTCATTGTCTATATTACTAAATGTATATTATGGCATCACTTAAAAACTACCGGATAGTTTTACCAAAAACTGCATTGATATTCTCTCGAAATGTACTTATTATCACGCCAACACAATTAGAATACAAGAAATTACCTAAAATGTGTTAAAATTTCAAAATTCTATTGTAAGTTTCAACTTGAAGTTTGGTACTAATCGCTCTAAATACACATCTTAGCGCTATATTCATAAGCTATGGAGTGAAGTTCGAACTACACAAATAAAAGACTTCAACTCAAACATGTGCTAAGCAATCCGATTAAGTTCGGAGGCTTTCATACCTAACTAATATCAATCATATGTTGTATGTTCGAATCTCTTCGATATTGAATAGATAATATTAAGCTTCTAATCATGTCATTCACTGTAACTATTTACACACTAAAGATATTTCGGGGGTGGTGCTTTTTGCATTATATTGTATTACAAAAAAAAAGTAAATAAAAACCTCTCTTAATTGGCATAATTTTTATAGTACCCTTCTTTAATGAACTTTGAGCGAGACAGATAATTTCAATAATTAATGATATGTTCTGTGATGAGCTCTTGCATACCCTTATTCATAGAAACTACATCACCTCCTTATGTATGCACGCGCCCGTGACGTTATTATCCTAAAAATATAGAAAATTTCTGGTTGTCGACAATTCGAAAGTAGTTAGGTGTGTTTGTTACTCTTTCAGTTAAAAACTACTGAATAGATCTTAAAGAAATTTAGCACAGACATAAATTATACTATAGTCTACAATAACACATAATCCACTTCATACCCCAGTACTGCGGACGATGACGCTGCCAGAAGCTAGTATTAGAAAAATATTTGTAGTTCCCTTCCATACATACAACTCTATCCTATTGACAACATAACACCCTGATCCATAAAGAGAAACCCTTAGGGAATTTCGCATTCCTTAAATATTCTATCAATCAGAATCCCCAGGAATGTAAAGTATAGAATATCCTAAATATCAACTAATAGACTAATAGACGGGTTAATTAATTAATACAAGGATTATACGTGTTAACGAAATTGTTATACAAATAACATCACGAGTTGAAATTTCTCTTCCATATTTCGGAATTCCTCCATACGAATGCACACTTTGGAACGATCTCCACTTAAGCACTGAATTTCAAAAGTACCTGTATGTTATAGTTTAGTTGAGATAAATGTTTTAATTTGGTTTATTTCTATGCATAATGATGCGTAGATGTAGGTTCAAATTTCAGGATCGCTGTTATTACAGTTAAACTTCTCTCTGAAGACTCCTCCTTAGATCCCAGGTGCAAGAGACGATCTAGCCCTCAGGGATAGTGTGAAGATCTTCTGCCACTTTAAGTGCACGTCCATGGACGGCGATAAATTATAGCTCGTCGTCCTATCAGAACCACGCCCGAGCTCACGTTGCGCCGCACTCTAGGCGCGCCTCATAGAACTATCATACGACCACAGGCGGGGCCCACTAGCTCATGTTGCGGGTCCAGCCGAGCCGGACCGCAGCATGGCAATGGCACACTGCGGTCCGGCTCGGACCACAAGTTGCAACGGGGTGACTTTTAGTCAAAACTGTTGGGCCTCCCTACCGTCTTACCGTGTAATAACTCTTGTTATTATATGATTATCACACCGCAAAAGTTTGTAGTTTTGTCACTTTGTAGTTGGCCACTTTGTTGTTTACAGAGTAATTAGCGCTAACCTTTAACAGATTGTCAAAAACAAACTTAACAAAAAAGACATCCAATAAATTGCAGTGGTTAAACCGAATTGCTTCACAGAAATTCCCTGTTATTTGGGTAACCATCTATTTTTGTCAACTGTGTATTAACAAAATACTTCATTTATGAAATTAAAATATTAAAATTACAAATTAACTATATTGTGGCGTGAGTGAAATCGTTGCCGCGCAGTTGATTTGAAAAACTAAACACATAAAGGCAAGTCAGTGCCTTAAGCGTTGTCTAATAGTTAACCTTTAGGTATTGCAGAGATGAGATAGGCTGCTGACCTTAAGTAAATATATCCATATAGAGGTACTATATATGTACTTACTCGTAGATACTTTTAAATGTAGGAGCGCCGTGCTTCGGCACGAATGACCCCCTTGACCAGAGTGACAGGAAAAACGCTAAAAGTAAACGCATTTTTAAGTATTGTATTGTCAGCGTCCGTGGGCAACGCGGATTGGTTACACTTAGTTGACGCGCGAACTCGTTTGCCGCCCTAAGTCATAAAAAATCCAATTTAAGTTTAGTTTCTACTCCAAAAGTCCATTGGGTACTGCAAAGCTACACCAGTATACATTTTTATTTATTATCCATATAGTCAAAATAGGTTAATTTAATATTGTACGTTGCTTAGGGTACTTCATAAGCATGCTATAGACAGGTAGACTTTTTTAGTAGCGAATTGTAAAGACGTGTCTCACCTCGACGCGCCGCTACGACAGCCTTATTTATCTGCCGGAAAAGTATCACCGAAAACATTTTCGACGCCCGATTTCCTTCCTTCTTATTCGAAGTTGCGAGATTAAAAAAACTCTTATTATCTATTCAGCCGTTTCAAATATGTAATTTATCAGTGCGTCTGCATCACACAGACAAAAGGCGCGTTGTTTTCTTATCGCAACCATGAGACTGTATGTCTCCACGTTTATCAGATACTGTCTAGTCTACAGTGCATGTATTATCCACCATTATAGCTCAACAATGTGGCGACGTAAGACATCCTAAAATAATAATCTAGATAAAAATTTGACACGTGTAGTCATAGCACTCAGACCTAAGCTAATACCTATATTTATTTTTGGGAACGACTGAAGCTATAGTCTAAAATCTCCTAACTGATAACAGATACATGTTTTCAATCTATTGTTATTGTAGTTTGTCGTCTGTGATTTAAAACCTCCGCACAAATTAAACAAAAGAATAATTTTAAATCGTTTGACTTTCCACTGATTTTAATTTTAGGATATCCAACCTTCTAATTTTGATGTTGTACTAAACACGTATTAGTATTGGTCCTACCTTAGTCACTGACTACAAAACACAATAATTTCATAATAAATTAAAAAGCAGTACCTATTCACAAAAAGAACGGCTCACTCAATTTATGGGATGAGAGAAAACGAATAAAAATTAATTGCAGTTACTTCCCCTGGTCAATTTTTACCGTAACATCTATCTAAAAACATTCGTATCCATAACATACATCTCGAACCAAACCCACCTTTGAAAATCGCATTAATATCAGACCAGTGGTTCTGTTGATAAATTGTAATATTAGTTTGCACAAACATCCTCAAACCAAACGCTTAAACCATCTGTGTTCCGTCTCGGCTTGCAACCAAGTCGCTTCTAGCCCTTAGGAGCTTAACAATAAAATATCGAAACAGAATTGCTACTGCAGTTTCGAAACATTTCGAAATTCTACCTTTTAACCTGCCATCGCTTACTCAAAAACTGCTATTTACAATAAACAAATCAATGAACATCACGCCTCTTCTAAGGATTCAGCCGCTGCTTGATTATATCTTTTCTTCCCTATAGCTTTCCACGATAATATATATAAAAAAAAAATGTTCGGGAAATAAACGCGTTCAAACAAACAAACATACTCTTCTGCTTTATAATATTGGTATAGATAGATACATTGATAAGTATATATAATAGAATAAGTAGAGAGATTATTGACGAACGACCAGCGGGGGATTTTGTTCTAAGTGGACTGAAGCTGAGCTCCTAAACAGCGTTATTAAAGTAATCGTGCTATTAGTGGAACTATTTTTTATCAACATTGGCTCTTTATTCTTTCGATCTTTCGATTGATTTAACGCAATTTGTAAGATGAAAGCACCGCATGTGGTCTGAGCGGTTTTGACTGGCTTTGAAACTGATAATTGTAATGAGGTAGGGCGTGAATGAGTAGCCGATTTAATGACGCCGCAGTCCGTGGCAACCCTGCGGTGTCATTAAAGCCTTTCCATCACGTGATAGCAATGACCGCACGTTTGAATGACAATGCGTAAAAAACCGCAACGTCGCGCGGCAAAGCGGTGTCATGTTGATATACTACCTATAATACGACCCGGCTGGCCGCGCGTCGCCACGGCTTGCGGCATCGCTTAACTTCACGTTATTTAAAAAAACACTCGCAATAAATAAAACTCGATATAATTCAGCTTTGCTGATTATTTAATTTAACTTTTTCTCGTTTCTCGGCGTCTAGAGCCCTTTACAGCTCTTGTGGTCGGTGCCGAGTTCCATCGACAATAAAACGAAAAAGGAGCTTGAGAATTTATAAATGAGAAATATTTTCAGAAATGTCAACGGGCAGAGTGTAAGCTTTACTACTAATTGTGCTCTGTCCACTCCGACTATGACGTAGGATTGTCTACTATTTGAGGAATGAAAAAGATATCATTTTTGTGTGTGCACATCTTCTCTGGTAATATTAAGGATTATTTTTCACATTTATCCTCAGTAGTGGCAGTTGGGAATAGACGGTATTTCTCAGCTTCTAGTTTGTTGTCCCAACTCGTAATTGTAATGTTTTTGAAAGAGGTATCTAACCTGCCTTAAGTAAAGTAAAATATTTTGTTCAAAATATCCTCAAGTCTCAACTAAGTCAAGGTTTGTTGCAACAACGAAACGATTAATAAACAAAGGAGATCCTCGTTAAATGGTAATTTATGCTAAACTATTATATACTTAATGCCTGTTTTGGGGTTCTGAATTATCTACACCGTGTACATATGTATTGTTATTTACTATAGTCACTAGGCTCGCTACTCAAGGAGATCCTGTCTATTTGTAACTACATACATTCGTTTCTACGTGTATTTCAATAGAATGTAATGTTTCGTCGTTTTCCTAGTGCAAAAGTTTCATTTATTGATACATTTCTTTTTCTATTGTTTGCAGAAAATTGAGGATAAATCTTCAGACTTGTCAGATGATGCTGAGGAAGAAACCAGTAAGTACATTTACATTTTTAACTTACTTTTAGGCAGGAACAAGAACGGTAAAACTGGGTAACATCACCTCCGTTATAAAACTAGGCGTTTTTTATTGATAAACGGTACAAATATTTGTATGTACGGAACTGGGCATAACGGAAGCACGAAAACTCAACTAACGTTTGGTACATGTCCTTTGGGGTAATCTAATCAGCATACATATAAAATTGCAAAAACATTGCACATTCTATCAATAATTCTTCTCTTTCTATCATCACTAGCGTCAATGACGTCACAACACGGAAGATACATTATATACATATATACCGTACCGTCAATTCTTAAAGACCTTACGTACAATATACGCAAGTACCTACATAAACTACCCGTAAACCAACTATGTATTAGGCGTTGAAACCTAAGATTTTCCAGGTACATAATAAGGCTAGGTAAGGTAATATTAAGCAAGTAGGTAGATGGGCTTAAGCTAAATATTAACTCAAATAAGATAACGTGAATTTCCATCAGGAAAAGGAGTTTAACAAGTTCCTTTGGGCTTAAACTTTGACTGACTCTTTAAAGTAGGAGGTAGTAGCGGCTGTTAAGCGTTTGCTCGTTTCAAAGTTTATAGCATGGCTAGCTTTTGCCCGCGACTTTGTTCGCGTGGAACAGTGTGACTTCCTGCAGATTTTTGTTTTAAAAACTATCCTATGTCCTTTTTCGAGTTCCAAACTATGTCTTTACCTTCACACAAATAGGTTCAGAAGTTTAGGCGTGAAAAAAAGACAGACAGACAGAATTACTTTCACATTCATAATATTGGTTTGGATATACTATAGTAATTTCTTGCTCTTTTTTCGTTACAAATGTCGTTCAGATATAACGAGACGTCACTCTTGTGTAATTTCTTTTGTATTTTAATGTTTTTTTATTCATAATCTCTTGTTCGTCTATGTTGCCCTGGTACATACACGATGCAGTGTTGTTAAACTATTGTTTGAAATGCTTGGTAGAGCAATAATGAAATTGATAATGGCAATTTCAACTGCCAATGGGATTTGGTGTTAATATGCTTAACAAATTTTCGGTCATCATTATATTATTATCTCTTAAAGAAGATAAACGTGACATTTTACCAGTTACTGAAAAGCATGTATAATGGTCCAATTTTCAATTCCCGGGTCGCTCCTTCGCTTTCAGTGCGAAACATTGGCCACCCTAACTTAACGGCCTATTCATACCAACATGCGTCAACCGTTATCAAAACTGCCTCCGAAAATATGTATTAAGATTTTCATATGAGAAGCCAAACGAGCTTTCGTTTTTCCAGACATTTAACAGCCATCTAACTCAACAGACGTTATTGTTTTATTTCCTTTACATAAATATTTTTCTTAATGCATGAACTTTTATAATTTATAAAATAGAAAAAGAAAACCCGTACGTTAATATTTTGAATTTTCTGCTCGCAGCTTCATCTACTTATGTAGTCAAAGGAAAAAATGGTGATCTTTAACACTCTTCGAAACTATAAAATTATTCCAATGTTGCGAAAAAGCATTACATTTAAAATATTGGTAAGGATAGATTCCAGTTAATGACCAAGTATAATATAGTATTTGAGGTCCAAAAAATAGTTCATTGATGTGTCCTTTTTGTCCAGAATGAAAAATTGCATTCAAATCTGTCCAACTGTTTTGGATGATGAGCAGTGCACATTTAGGTCTGTTCAGTTTCCGATAATGTCAATATTGCGTGTATAACAAGGGCAATAAACCTACTTTCATTCATTTTCTATTCTATTATAGCCACGTTATGGGGATTTAAATTGTATTCATGGATAGCCGTGTTCACGAAGCCGTGTTGAATGAAACAATTCCCTGCATGTGTTAGTTCGCACATACGTAATATTGCGTCTGAATTCCCAAGGAAGACTCATTTGAGATGCAACTATGTTTCCTCGATGAATAGCCGCCATATTGTGAACAGTGAACAAATCTCAGAATCTAAATCAACAGAATATTGACGTTTGTTTGCTAGATAATAAATAATTAAGATTGATATTGATCGAGTAATAGCAAAAATGGTTGCGAATTTTGGTTCCGGAGTAAAGTAAAATCTCTTAACTATTCGGGAGCAAATTCTCAATGTTTTTGTTCTATAATTAGGTCATATTAGTCTTATTCGTTCACCAAACTGAAGTTAGATTCAAATTATATGCCCATATAAATAGTACCAAGTCCCTTTTTGTGCACGTTTAAATCGTGACTAACACAATTTGCGTTATTTACTTTAGTCCGTAAGTGCAGTCAAGTGAAATGGACCTCATCATAATTCTAAATGGAATATAATTGCTGTAGGTCTTACGTTCAGTTCGATTACAAGTTCAAAACAATTTATTTATTGATCAATGAATTGATGATTATAATCGTTACAACTAACATAACAGATGGCGAAATTAAATGAAACTTGAAACCTTTGGGACTTGTGTGGATACAATTGTATTGAGACAACTGACAAAAATTTGATAATGTTACTTAAATAATTAACTAATTGCGAAAAATTACTTGGTACTGCGAGATAGAGTGACCGGTCCGTTACTGCTCGCATCTTTACGCTTGATCCGCGACCCCGGCTGAACATCAGCCCCATTGGGCTCCATCTGTTGTGGTCTGCCGGCTATTTGAGGCTCGCTTGTCGTACATTGTGGATCTCTGGTTCTAATCGGTTGGCAGACTCCCCTTGCAAACTTGTTATAGGTAGGAATTTGGTTCCGTCACTCCACTATTCCACTTTGATAATATGTTTTACTTATGCAGAACTTGTGTTCTTTCGGTTTTTGAATTACTGCCTTTTCATAAAATGTATTATGGTTGTATACAATGTTATCAAAATCAAGTAATTACTTAAGTTTTCATTATTGTGAGATCGTACCAGACTGGCTTAGATATTATCCAAGTCTTTCCTAGGATCTTGTACAGAATATCAATTAAATCGGTTTAATGGTTTGAAATGTAGGTAGTTCCCAGATTTTAACTCATACTTAAATACGATTCTTGTGGGATTCCGGGGATAAAACTATACTACGTCATTACTCAGGTTTCAAATTAGGTAAAGTTGTACCGAATTTCTCGCAAATCGGTAATGTTGACATCACTATCGTATGACGATAATATCATTAATGGCTACCTATGGACGAGATTGCCTATGCTTCAATCACCTACTTCAGTTCAGTGATTTAAACTAGAGTCCTTTTTTCCCTTCCCCGTGTCATATATACATATGATACTATCGTTGTACAAAAGGACAATAAACAAATTAATAGTTAAAACTTTTTCAATAAGGCAATAACATAATTAATTCAGTTATGAAAATGGTTTTTGGTAAAACTCCATTTCAATCGATAATCTATACCTACTAATATTATAAAGAGATAAAATTTGTTAGTGTGTATGTAGGGGGTAATCTTTGGAACCGCTGGTCGAATTTCCAAAATTCTTTCACTGATACATAGCTACAATGTTCCTGAGTGCACTGAGACACCACTGACATACGGTGAAAATAAACATCGTGAGGAAACTTTTTTTTTGTCAGGGGAAAACCTCCAATGACTACTCCCGCCCAGGGTAAGGCGAGATATAGTGTCAGACTCTTACTGACTAAAAACCCCCCCGTTCCTTCTCCTGCTCTGGGCCGAGGTCGCGGTCCCTCATCGCAGCCCCGGCTAAACATCAGCCCTTTAGGGCCCCGACTGTGGTGGTCTATTGGCTCCGAGGCGCGCGCGGAACGCTACGCGCCGTACGCTCGGGTCCGGTTCTGGTCGGGCGGCGAGCTACCCTTACTCGCAGTCCGCAGACCCGCGCTTACGGTGACCGGAGATCATCTCTCGATCGTGAAGAAACCTGGACTTACAATTTCTAATTATAAGTTTGAAATCGCCAACCCGCATTGAGCAAACGTAGTGATTGAATGCTCTAACCTTTTCCCTATGAAAAGAGGCCTTTGCTCAGCAGTGGGCACCTATAGGCTGATGATGATGATGATGATGATTTAATATTTAGTGAATCGATCGATCGATGAATTAAACTAAAGTTATTTTTAAATATTTTAATGTATTGTAACGTCGAACGAATTTGTTTTTGACCTAAGAAACTACCCAATTATGATTGCTATAAAAAATGTTAATCATAAAAAGAAAATCAATCAACTCTGCTTTATCTTATTTCCAAAAATGCAATTGAAGGTCGTATGTTTAACAAAATTTGTCGCCAATTGCTGGCACTATCGTTTTAGTAGTAGCTGTCCCATATTCATCTGTTTCGGTTCAGTAGTTTATAAGATAAGAGTCCCTGGATAGTTCCCGTTTCTGTGGGATTTTCGGCTGACCTTTATCTTACTTCCTTACTATCTTACTTCCTTTCTTAAATTCTCAACAGATGTTTCAAGGGATTTCATCAAGTGTTTAAAAAAAATTAAAGAGTCTGGTGTTTTTGATGTACAGGTCATCTTAGGTTAGGTGAAGTTTACTGCGGCCTTGGCCTAGAGCAGGAGAAGGAACGGAGGAGGGGCTAATACGATTTATTAGTCAGTAAGATTCTGACACTCACCTCACCCTGAAACCATCCTCAGGGTTAGGTGAGAGAGTGTGAAGGTAAGACCATTCTTACCTTCACAAACAAATACGGCTAGGTAAATTTACTATTCATTAACTTACATGTATTAAATAAAGTTATATATAAAAATTGTGTATGCCAGATTTTAATACTGATATTGTAAAATGAAACAGTTTGTACAAATCTATCCCGCAACAAGTCCCAACAATCAAAGACGTGACCTCCAATCTGTAGGTTCTGGGATCGCGTGGTGGATCAATTACGGTCCGTTCCCTTGATGTGAGGAATTGCTCTCAGCAATTGTTGGCAATCAGAGTCCGTATTAACCACTTTGTCGAATTAAATCATACTACAATGCGTAATACGTTTAGCCTCATAGCGGCGTTTAAATAAACATTGTGATT